TATCGTCTTTCGAATTCAAATTCGAATTCAAATTCGTCTCTTTCTATTTCATTTCTTTTTCTTTTTATCTTTGAGGTTAGGTCGATATTTAGAACGTTGCATGAAATATTTTGCTATAGTAAAATCCCGTAACGTTACGTAGTATTTATTATCGTAGTATTATTTATTCTCTTTCGAATTCAAATTCGAATTCAAATTCGAATTCAAATTCGTTTCTTTCTATTTTATTTCTTTTTCTTTTTATCTTTGAGGTTAGGTCGATATTTAGAACGTTGCATGAAATATTTTGCTATAGTAAAAGTTCGTAACGTTACGTAGTATTTATTATCGTAGTATTATTTACGTAGTATTATATATCGTCTTTCGAATTCAAATTCGAATTTAAATTCGTCTCTTTCTATTTCATTTCTTTTTCTTTTTATCTTTGAGGTTAGGTCGATATTTAGAACGATTAATGAAATATTTTGCTATAATAAAAGTTGCGTAGTATATTTATTGTCTTTGAAATTAGTTTCTTGTTCATTTTGTAATTCTTTCTTCGTTCAACATTGTTCGATAATCGTCGAATGATTTTGTAATTCGTTGTAACTTTGTCAATTCGAAAGTTTCTTATAAAAGCGCATGATTGCACAAAGGAATTAACTTTATTGAGGATAGAGTTTTAGTAGATCTTTTCTTTTCTTTTTTTTTCTTATCTTATCTTATCTTGTCTTGTCTTGTTTTTTAATCAAAGTATATACGTTTATTGGATTTAACCAAGGATTATACGTTAAACATTATACTTTAACCGTAACTCTCCTCTAAGTACCCTTTATTACAGTAAAATATATTGAACTCTTATTCAAAGTTAGGTTATAGTTATTTGAAAATGACAGACCAAGATGATAGTCGCGTTTTTCTTCGTGATATCTACGTACTTTCTCATTAAAAATTTGTAATTTCCCCATTCAGGCTTCTAGAGGACGGATATTAGAAATCAAAGTGAAATCTCCGGCTTTGACGACGTCGGTACCGAACTTTACTCTTAACTTACAAATACCTGAGTTAATTTAATTCCATCTTTGTTTTTTACTCGGGTTTGAATATTTCACGAATGAGATCATTTTCTTCTTTGTAATATAAAAATATTGTAATTAAGAAGTAAAATATATATGTGAAATAAAATCAACGCTACTTATTATATTTTAATTGTATTTAAATTTAAATTTACTATGACCGTTATATTAACGTACTTTTTTGAAATATGAATACTTAAAAACGACGAATTTTGGATAATCTCGTAATGTGTTTTTTTTTTTTGATTAATGCGTTAATTGTTGTTCTTTTTCTTCTTCTTTTTTTTTTATTATTTTTCCATCAGTAAAAATTGTTATTTTATTTTTTTCTATGGTAAATATAATTTATCGCGTTTAAGTATATTTTCGAACGATATATGTAATACCTGTTGCATCGAGGTTCGAAAGGGACGTTGGGTTTATATCTCACGAGAAAACCTTCGGTCAACTTTGCTTCAAATCTTTTTTTTTTTATTTTTTTTTTTTAAGTAACAATAACCTGTTGCTTTATTTTTTAATCACTGTAAAATTCATTGACTATAAATAGTGAAACAAATTGTCCTATGGGATAACATTTATGTGAATTGTTGAATAAAATAGAACAATGTTTATTGTAACTTTTTTTTCTCTTTTTTTTTTTTTTTACTCAATCGTGTTATTATAAAATATATTGAAAAGAATAATAATAATAATAAATAAAAAACAATTTTGTTATAAAAAAAAATGTGCTATGGTGGTGGTCTCCGCGACGAACAGCATTGAACTTTCTATTTTTATTCGAAACAAAGTAAACGTTGCTATTTTTTATTTATTTATTTATTTATTAAACACTAATATGAAGAAAAATGTGTAGTCGTTTTAAACAAATATTTATTTTCGATAAAATGGTGGTGTAGATTCACAAAAAAAAATATTTTTGAATTGTTTCTTCTTACAAAAAATTGGAAATAAAATCAATGATAAATAAAAAAAAACAAAAAGATCTTAGATATTTTCTTTTGAAAAATATAGTTTACGAAGTATCGTTTAAATTTTGAATGAATTGATGAGAAAATTATTTAAGATTATACATGTTTAACACGAAAACCCCATAAATCTTGAAAATGATGTATTTTCGAATATTGACATTTGAATTGAATTTTCTTTCAAAAAGAACAAATGTCATGTTTTTTTTTCAAAACATTTACATTAACGTTACTCCTGTTTAATGTTTTACATCTGTATTTAAATATTATTAAAAAAAAAAAGTATATTTTAAATGATACAAAATAAAATATCGAACATTGCAAATATTTTATTTAAAAATTAAAAAAAAAGACACGTAAGAAATAGAAAAATAGAAATTTTAACAGTTTAGTTTAAATTAAGTAACGAAAAAGAAAAATACAATTCAACGTCACGATCTAGAATCGACAAATTAAATTTGAGGTTAGCCGATAAATTTACGTCACGTGATACGCATGCACACACTTAAATGTAGACGAAGGAAAAAGAAAAGAAAAGAAGAAAATAAAAGAAGAAACAAAATGAAACAAAATGAAACAAAAAAAAGTATGAAAAATGAAAGAAATAGTAAGAATAAAAAACAAAAACAAAAAAAACAAGAAAACAATTGAACATGTGTATCTTCGTATCATTTTTCACTCACCCCTTTTGTTTCGATGAAAAAGATGCAACAGGCTGTCGAAGGTTTCGTAAACGACGACAATACAAAAGCACAGGCTTCCCTGTTGTTGTTGTTGTTGTTTTTAATATATTTCGTACGAGAATATAAAAATTGACGTCCCCGATAAAAAAAAAAGGAAAAATAAAAAGATAGACACAATTATATAAATATATATATATATATATAAAGAATTAAAAACAATTAAAGATTATTTATAAATAAATAAATAAATATAAAACAATTGAAATATATGACAATTGTACAAAATAAAAATAGTTGAACAATTACGAAAATAATGTTATAAAATATATTTATATATATGTATGTATATTTTTACGTTAGTATTTGAATTTTTCTATCCTGTTGTTATATATATATATATATATATATATATATTCATATATATATATGTATATATCAAGTAACTCCTTGAGTAGTCGATGATTGCAGTGATAGTGGCGAGTATCCTGAAGCAACAGCCCTTAAATACGCACGATCCTGACTGCCATGCGCGTTGTTCCATAGGACGACAGAGAAATAAATAGTTTCCCATACGCATGTGTCTTCCACCCTTTTCCACCCACACCCTTATCCCCCATCCCCCATCCCCCATCCCCCATCCCCAACTCCCCCTTAGCTTCATCTTATTCTTTTAACGTTACTTACGTTAACTTCTATCTTCTTTGACATTATTTTCTTCTTTTTCTTTCTTTCTTTTTCTTCTTCTTCTTATTATAGAAATTTTATGTTAATTTACACATACGCTATTAGAATATGGGATAGGGGTGTGACTTGAGGGAGATAGGGGGAGGGGGGAAGAAGAAGTTGATTAACTTGAGTCAAAGATACTTAAAAATAAAAATAAAAATAAAAAGTAAAAATAAAATGAATATGAAAATGTTGAAAGATTTGCTTTTGCATATTATAAATTTCCCCATAAACTTTAATTAATATTAAATAAACCATATAATCTTTTTTTTTTTTTTTTAG